CATTTAGAATGTGATAAAATTGTGATCATTTATAAAACAAGAGAACTTATCCCTTAATCTGTAGGCTAATTCCTAGGGATGTTAAGTGGTCCACAGGGGTGTGGTCCGGCAATTAATTCAATTAATTGAATTAAATCCACTAAACTAATTTTATTGGATATAACGAAAAAGAGAGAATTCATAGTTTATTCATTATATTAGCTTTGATAAAGAAATTAAACAAAATGTATAAATGCAATTCATTCGTTAAAATCAGTCATAATTAAAGTTTATAATAAATAAAGGGCCTAATTGCCCTGAGAAAAATTAATTCTCGCTTGCTTCATAATTATGTCACAATAATCCCCTGTAACTTACCTGATCAACCGAAGCCTTGTTAATCTACCAGCCAAATCTAACTCGCCCTTTTTGATAGGTTGTGGATTGAAGATTACGCGAAAACCTGGGATTATCGAGTATCAAGTCGTGGCCCAAATACGACTTAACAATATGGTATAACCGGTTATTCATGGGTACCGTACTCATGAGCAGTGTTTAATATCTAATGTTCTCAGTGTTCTCAAGAACATTAAAATAGTTTTGAGAACATAATATTTAAAAATTATGTTCTTATTTGAGAACATAAAATTTGTAAATTGTATTATAAAATAATTTTTTGAAAACATTAAAAATTTTTCTGAGAACCTAAAATTTAAATTTTATGTTCTCAGAAAACAAAAAAAATTTCAGATATTTAACACTGCTCATGAGTAACTTAGGTAACTGCCTACCCATGAGTAACTCAAGTAACCCGCTCACCCATGAGTAACTCAGGTAACCCCCTACCCATGAGTAACCCGCCCACTCAGGTTGATCTACTCAGATCCAACTTTTATACATAGGGGATTAAAATTTGAGAGGGGTTTCTTAAAAAATTTGAAGATCAAATATCAAATCAAATATTTATTTGAAACTCAAACTTTGAATTTGGTTTTGGATAGTACTACTTCTCAAAATCCGAAATATTTGCCAGAGTGAAATAATTTCGCCCCCTAACATTTCGGATTCAGGGTACCGTAATCACCGTGACAGTTGGGTAGAAATCAAGGATGTAAAAAAATATTGATTTATTAGATCAATATAAACTGAGATTTTGGTCGAGCGACAAATCTTACCCATTACCTATTACTTCATACTTACAATTTTCCTATATTTCATATTTGATACTCGCTAATCACTAATTATGTCATAGCAACGATAATATATATTTAATTGGTTTGATCCTTTTGCTTTTTTCTTCTTAGCTGTGCTTTAACTAAAAAATATGGACCCAAGACAATAAGCCACAATTGAAGGCCTTTTAAAATCACAACAAATCGCTAATACATTAATTTATAAAACGTTAACCTCCACCCATAACAAAAACAGTTTCAATAATGCCCCCACCACAAATAAAGATACGTTAACACTATAGATATCGCAACAATCGATAATACCGTCAATAATGACACTATAATCGATGCGAATTCTTCTGGCAATAGCTTACCGATAGTCACTGGGTACAAAATTGTGCACTAATACCGGATGAATACAAATTCTATTGTTACCGATGCTGGAAACTCGGCCGCCAATCAAGGTTTTGCAGCTTACATGAAACTATCAAACCTCCATGGATGGGAGATTCGGATTTTGTAGCATTACGAAGTGTTCAATATCAAAAGCGTGATTTTCACGTTATACTATAGCAGATAGTAAACGAACTCTCGATATAGTGAAGAACAGTTTATATGTATAAAATCCGTAGTAAAAAATTTGTACTCATGATCTGCGTGACAAATCGTGTGAGTGGGTTTACGTTTAATTTTTAGAAATCACACATGATTGTTTTGGTTCGAAAATCACGCGATTAAGATCAGGTGTAACAATAGTGAAAGATCTTTGATGCGAAGAATTTTTTTTTTTTTTTTGACTTTATATAGTATTCTTTCAATATAAGCTATAGTGAAGATTTTTTTTTTATTTTCTTTAAAATTACACGATAGAAAAATTAGATTCATGATTATGTAATTGCTATTATTCGTCCTTTTCTCATCTCCCCGGTCCAAGATCTGCTGATTCTGTTAGAGGTCGAAAGACACAAACAAGAATCGGTTATGCACCTTGGAAATATCCGATAAAAGGTCTATGAGGGACGCACGACTGTAATTTTTGAAAGTAAAACCAATTCCTTACTGGATAGTTTATTGCTTCAAAATCCGAGAATTTCTGATCCGTGTTAGTTTCAATGTGAGGGGAGATGCTAGAAGAGTTTGATAAGAGTATTTTTAGAAAGTGTTTTTGGACTAACTTTTATTATTTTTATTTTTTTTTCACTTTTTTAATTTAGATTTTTTAGATCTTAATTTATTTTGAAGTACCGAAATACTCCCTATCAATACCTTCTCAGCCATGAGACATTGGGGTGTTCGGTATACTATGTAAATCAAAATTATAAGTGGTATCATATAAAAAACTATTATTAAAGATTTTTTGATTTTACTTAAGTACTATAATAATTCTTCGCGAATTTTAAATAGATGCACAACCCTAACGGCTCGATAGTTTTAGATAAAAATTTGTAACTACCAATATTATGTCTCTACAAACAAAGCTATAGAATCATTTCTTTCATCTATGAAAAAAATTTAAACCACCATTTTAAAAAAAGTCTTCCTCTTTAATTAAAATTTTTTCATAGTTAAATAAAAGAAATAGCTCTATAGCTTTGTTTGTAGAGACATAATCTTGGTTGATTCGAAATTTTATCTTAAATCATCGAGCCGTGAAGAATTATTATAGTACATAAGTAAAAATCAAAAAATCTTTAATAATGGTTTTTTATATGATACCACTTATAATTTTGATTTACATAGTGTACCGAACACCCCAATGAGACATGGTGGTTGGGACAAGTACGAGATTTTTATTTCTGAAACCAAGTGTCTCAATTTTTATTTTTTAAAAATTTTCTTACAAGAATTTTATTATTAATAATATAATAACGAATAAAGTTTTTTTTTTATTTATGATATTGTAAATAAGCCTATAACCAATGTTACTATACACGTTTTGACTGAAGTTCACGACTGATTAGTCAGCACTGTGACTAACGAATGGTTTAATTATTCTTATTAATTGCTAAAGAAAGATAAAATATTATTGTATATGAAACTGTTTAAGTAATTAACATCATTGCTAATTTATTTTATTGCTTAAAAAAAATAGGTATAAATAATATTCTATCTCTAATTCTGTAATTTAGCTAAAATATATACCGATTTATTATAATAACAATATATGTTGCGTACTTATTCATTGATTTATAAAAATTTGCAATAATCCATTCCAAAATATCGTAAACTTTCCAATAAATCTCATATTTAATAATCATCCATCCAATAAACAACGTAAACATTAACATAATTAATAATTTGAAAAAATAATTCCAATTTTGTCTCTTTAACATTCGTATAAATCCACGAGAATAATACCTTGCTCTACTCATTTCTCTAAATCCAGGTTTTCTTATAACTTGAAAAACTTCATATTCATCAATATCATATTCTGATGAGGCCGTATATTGAAAGAATTTTGAAGCTTCAGGATATGTCATGGTTTTCTGACTATTATAAATTGAACCAGCATCTTTAATAATCAAATCACCAGAATATCCCCATCCAGGTCCATATTTTCGATCATAATAAATAGCATATTGTGGTCGTTGAACTCGAGCGATTTTAAAATCTAGATCATTAAAGGAAAATAAAAAACTTGAAGAAGTTTTCCACCAAGTTCCACCACTAGTACTATTATTATTAGGGCTACTAGCAGCAAAAATATTTGACGAACTTTCAGGAAGTTGTACGCGTTGAGACCAATATAAAGGATTATATCCACCAATCAATTGTCTAGTTGAAGAAAGTTTTGAAACCATAATAGTTGCACCCTTGTTATCGCATAAATTATGAAATGTTGTAGGATCGAAACCATCCCTAGTAGCCCTCAATAACAGTTTAAAGTTATATGGATTTGTTGCCCTATCGTAATAACTGTTTTCATTATCAATCCAACTAGCCAAAGCACAAACATGTTGATAGTCCATCAAGACTGAATCAAAAATTGGACCTTTCCGGGGAGGAGTTTCAATCGAAAATGGTTTATTCCCAGAATCCAAATGAAAACTTAGAATATCTTCATAAAGAGTTTGAGGTAAAAGCTTTTTAAAAGGTCTAACTTTATGTAAGAAATCACTTGAAGGAATATGTATCCATCTAATAAGTGGAATTAAATCTTGTAATGTTTCACTCAATGCGATAAAATCTTTATCAGTCCATTGTAATAAATTTTTTGCAGGATTCCTTTCATCAAGTTTAATTTTTAAAGAGTTTTGCGCGATTCCCCATTTAAGTGTGTTTTGCCAGATATCAATTTCATCCATTTCCAATTTATCACAATTTAAGAGTCGTAAAAGTAGGGGTTTATCAAGTGATAAGTAATCAGATGAACCAAATATAATTTGTGGATTTTCACAAATTGCTTGTAGACAATAATCCCTTAAAGAAGTGCATATTTCATAATGGAATACGGATTGGACGAAACGGATAGGATTTCTAATTAAAAGTTCGGATTGATTATCGATTAGGTATTCTTTTATTACTAATACAATTTTTTGAAGGTCTAATTCGTCGGCAGCCACGAGTATTTTTATTAAATCGGTGCCATCTTGTTGAACCAAATCAATTGTTCCAGTGTATAAATATCTGTAAAATTTTTAAGTAAAGTTGTTAGGATTGAAAAAAATATTTTTTGAAAAATGAAACGTAAAAAAAAAAAGGAAAAAAGAAAAAAAATACTGTACTCACAACAAGATTTCCTTAAAAGTTTTTGGAGAAATATTTGGTTTACGAAATATAAAAATATCGCCTTGCTTTTTAGCCCATTTACTTGATAATGCAGTTTGAAAATATGGACACCTTGCTGCTAGCATTACTGAATGTGTTCTAAATTCTTTAACGTTTGGTTCTTCCCCGACTTGAATTACAACATCGTAACCAGCACCTGTATTTAATAATTCAGCCATATCATCGGAAAGGTCTGTGAAAAATTTATGTGACGGTGCCATATATGGGCGAATAATTAGTCCTAAAAATTTTTATAACAATTGTAATATTCTTTTTAGTCAAGCGAAATATAAACGCGAAGTTAATGGGTGAGTGAACCATTGGATTCCGTTTTAAGTTTGTGCAAACAAATTCTGATTTAGTATGATCTACGTTACCTGTCGTACATGCTAAACCCAGATTTATCGTTATCAGAAACTCTTTTTCACGCTTAAATGGGTAGGAAACAAAAAACAACAAATCAAATTCTTACCTCAGATTTAATTCCAACAGAAACACAAAAAATAGCTCGTGTTTTAGGCGGTCGTGGTAAAAATCTTCACGAAATCCAATATTGTGATGGAACCGTCACTTTATGCACCTTACCACCGAAATTTCGTAGCTTAGTTTGGGTGAAGCGCGGTATTTATTTAAATGACATTTTGTTTTTTAATATAATAAAGTTATCTTTTTTTAAGATTTTTTTTTATTTCGTCAGGAAGTTATGTTATTATAGAACCTTCAGAATCCGATAAGATTAAAAAGATAGGTGGAGAAATTGTCCATGTATTATTTCCAGGGCACGTTAAACATTTAAAATCAGAAGGAATATGGTCAGGAACAATTTCATTCTTTTTACATTTCCATTTCTGGAACCATGAATATAATCAAATGACCATTAAGTTAATGTCGCTTATATGTTAAATCATAAAGGCCTAAAGAATTTGAGAATCAGGAAAATTTTCAAAATATAACTAGGTAAAAAAAAAAAAAAAAAAAAAAAATCTATTTATTTATTTATTTATTTTTTTTTTATGAAAGAGATTCTTATATAAACTACCATTAAGGCCTTCCGAAGATAATTCAGATGACCAAATTTTTGTGAATACAAACCGTATAAGAGATATAGAAAATAATGATGATACTTCATCAAGTGACCTTGAAGAAGAATGAGTGAGGCTTGGAAATGTTTAATCTATCAAAGAGTTGTTAATGGCTTATTCGAGTTTAAATTTGAACTAATCCTTGTAAATATGAAATAGATATTATTTTATATTATTTTAATACATGTTCGAATCAAGAAAAAATAAATTTGCATATGTTCAAAGTTCGAAATGAATTTGTATGGATCCTGATTATCCGATTATCTTGTTAGTAGTACAATATTATATTTAGTTATATTTAAAGCCTTGTATGAATTTATATAAATATAAATACGTCATGTCTTTAATCTCACCTACTGACGATTCATTACAATCTCTTTTAAAGCAGTTAAACACTGAATTTGACGAATGTATAAATCAAATAGTGCCAAGCGACTCAGATAATGTTGAGAAATCCAGTTCTTCCCAAGATGAATCGCAAGGTGAATTTTCAATCGTCATTTGACTAGATTTGATGAAAGGTTAATAAACATTTATTTATTATATAAAAACAAAGCGAATAAATCCCATCTCCTTAGGTTTCTACAGATAGCAAAAAAATTAGAAACAGTTTTATCAAAGATTATTCAGTCAGAAAAACAGCAGGAACAAATTGCCTTACAAGAGGTAATTTAATAAAAAAAAAAACTGTATTAACATTAAAAAATTAAATTTTACTCGTAATAAATTTTTTTTTTTAAATTCACATATCGTTTTTGATAAAAAGGAAATCATTGGGTTACAACAAAATATAGCGCAACAAAGAGAAGTTATTGAGAAATATACTGCTTTAGTTAAAGAGTGGTCGAAAGAATTTAGGGAATTAGAAGAAGAAAATAAATTACCCCTATAGACTTTGAATCTCACATTTTGTATTAATATTTCCCTTTAAAAGTGAACTTTGATATTTAGTGACATGCAATTATCAGTATTTTTAAATAAGTTGTGGAAATTTTGTGTTGAACTATCCTGTTTAAGGTTTTGATTAATTTTATGCACAATCAATACCGATACATCCTACGGCATTTAACGATAAATAATGATTTTATTAATAATTAATCGAAGAATAATGTTTAATTACGCTACTCTGTTGAGAAAGAAGATGATCCAGCGCTATATTAAAAATTGCAGGATAGTATATTATATTAAGATATTCAGATACTATTATCTCTTAGGAGTCCAAATGTTTTATAGTTATTTGAATTAGTGAATATAACAGATAATGGAACAGAATATTTTAGTAATCAATCCAACAATAAAGCACTCTATAATCGGTTCTAATCCATTTATTGTAATAAATCGATTGAAAGCTGCCACTCATTTTATCTATCACTATCCAAAAACTACTGTTGAACCTTCCACATAATGGTGTGTATTTGTTATGAACTATTAGATTTACGTAAACAATAAACCTAACAGTGAATACACAGTAGATATCGAAATCTTAAATTTAATAATCAATTCTTTTTTGATAATTTTTTGTAATTATAAATAATTTTTTGCAACATTACTTAGAATGCAAAGTTCGAACAGATTATGTTAAAGTTTATTTGTTCTATTATTACTATGAATTGTTCAAATCTAAATAACACATCTATATATATATTCAATATATTTACATTTGACGTAATCATTGTTTAAAACGATTAGCAATGAAAATATAATAAAGATTATTACTGAATTAGGTGCTTATTAGCTATTATACAAATTTAATTAAAATATAATTTAACCTTAATTTTATATAATTTGTCGTGAATCTATTATTATAAGCTACCAACTATTTGTTCTATAATCTATAATAGATTTTATAGAATTGGTAAATAATGTTGACAAATTCTTAAAAACAAATTCAAATATGGATTACTTACTGTATTTTCCAATGGTAAAGGATTTTCAGCACATCTTCTAAATGCACTTGAGGCCAATTCTTGTAACATTGTATTCAATATTCTAAACACATATAAATAATTGAATTTTAACTGTTAAGTTTATATATGCATATTATATTAATTACATCAAAATATACCTCTCATCTTCAACATATTTCCATAATTTAAGTCGTACAAATTCTGAATCCACTTGAATTTGTTGAAATATTTTATTTGTTAATGTTTGCATTCGAATGGTCTCTATCCACGTCTAGAATCAAAAAGATATGTATTTTTTTTTTTTTCATATTAATATATTTTTCATAATGTTAATTATTAATTTACCGCATTTTTTTATAAAGAAATTCAAAATACTTTTAACAATATCTTTATAACACCCATCATAATTCCCGGCTTTCCAACTTCAACAATTCCATAAATTTCGATTCTATCAGAAAATAATTTATCAATATGAGAGATAAGATGTGTAGAACTAGCAAAAAACGGGTTTGATGTTTTTGGCCGGTTTGAATTTATGGATGAATAGGAAGAATTTGAATGAGCATAAGCTCGGGTGCTTTCTTGGTTTATAACTGAATTTTGATCAGTGGATGGTAGAGAATTACTGTCTATAAAGTATCAAAAAAAAATTGAAATTCATTAAAGAAATGTAATCAAATATAATAAACTTTTTTAATATGTAGTAAAACTTCTCATTCACCTTGTTCATCTAGATTATTCTCCTCCTCAGTCCCATAGAGCATCACAACTTCTTTTTCAATAAGCGTTAATTCTGTAATGATGACATTCCATATTTTTGAAACACTTGTTGGTTGTGATGACGGATCAGTTAAATTTGTGGAAACTGATTTCATGGTATAAAGGCCGCGAATGTTTGAAGAAATTCGATTCCCAACAATTTCCACATATCGTTCTAAAATTCTCTATAAACCATTAACATTTTAATGAATTATGTATTCAAACTTTACCTTAGTGCTAAAAAAAAAAATTCTTACCTGTGCAATGTCTTTGCATACTCCAACAATCTCTCTAACATCTTGTGTAAACTCTTTGGAAATAACGTGTCGTTCTCCATATCCACCATATATATCAACGGCAAACCTATTTTTATTATCGCGAGGGGTATATAGTCTATCAGAAAAGGACGTGTAGACTTGTGTAACGATAATTTCGCCGAAATCTAATAACATGCGAGACATTATTAGGGTAATTATCGGAGGAGGAAGATCTTGTGGATTTATCGAATACGGGTTTATTGGAGAAACAAATTTCTAATGTCGAAAGTTTATAGCAATTTTAGATGACTTTTATAATAATTCAAATAATGAAAAATTAATATTATGAAAACATACCATCATAGAATTTATTATAGAATACCAAAATTCTCGAAATTCTGCTTGAATTTTTTTTAAAAACTTTTCAATACCATCTTTATTATCAAACATTGGAACTTCAGTCTTTACGCATTCCTAGAATTAAGAAAGTATTTAATGATCAAAAATACCGATTAAATTCTACTGAAGATATTCTTTTCAAACAAACCTCTATTATTTTTAGACAATCTTTTGTTAAATATGTGGTCAACCAAGTTTCTGTATCCAACACAAATGTTTGCACAAATTTGAATCGTTGTTGTGACGATGAAAAATCTTTGGTTTTCTGTTGTTCGGAAAACTTTACAAATTTTTCTGTAAATAAAAGTATGATTCCAATAATTAATTAAAGTGTTCCAACAAATGTTTATTTTACTATTAGAAAAAAAAAAAAAAAAAAGGCTAACCAATAAGTTCTCTTTCTGCACTTTCGAACAGTCTCTTTCCAACCCCTGTTTCCCAAGTATTGATTAGTTCTTTGATACGCTCATCAAATTCAACAGCGCCACAAAGACTTGAACAGGATAATGAAGCAAAATTAAGTTTATTAAGCAATTTTATGTGAGTTATGGGTTTGAAATCTATAATATTTTCCTAAAAAAAAAAAAAAAATGATGATTAGCATCATCATAATAAAAGTAAATTTGCATTTTTTTTTTTTTTTATAAAGGATCGTCTCATTTGACAAAATTAAAAAGAAAACATACTGGGAATTCTAATAAGCCATCCACAATCGTTAAATATTTTAACGTGATTTCACCAATGAATTCTAAAAAATCCTTACGCACAAGTTCTTTTGTCTGTGAATTGACAAATGTTATTACAAGCGATATGATCGTTTACATTAGCATTGTTATTTTAAAACAAAATTCTCAAATAGCATAAAATGCTAATGAGATAATTAAATAGGTTTATAAAACATACTTCAGCATCTAAATTAGCAGAAGCGTATCGAATAAGGTCATTATTTTTTGGAGACTTTGCGGGTGATTTCCCAGGCGATTTAAGATCTTTGGATTCTTTTGGTGGTAGCAAAAAGAATACATTAAAAGATTCGACAAACTTATTCAGCTCCTTTAAAAATTTTTCATTTAAATAAGAAAGTTCAATTATAACTCCTTCATCTGAAGTTGTTAATTGGTAATCCTCAGAAGATTTCAAAGTATAGTCTTCAGGAATCTTTGACATTTCATCAACTGTGGCTACTAAAAGTTTGGAAAGGAATGCCGCTTGACTAGTGAATAGATAAATGAATTTAGATAAAAAATTTACCAAGAAAACAACATGTCAATAAAAGAAATTACAGGTCAAGATATTCCTTAGCAAGTTGATGCGGAGGCTCTTTCAGTGTAATCAATAATAATATGCAATCTGTTATCTCAGAGCCAGTTGCCTAAAATTAAAATCAAAGTTCAATATAGATCAACAAAGTGTGTAGTGTTAAGACTATGGAGGTACTAACTTACATTTTCATTGGTCATATTTTCTCTAATTTTCTTGGAAACTTTGTCAATGATCTCTTTGCATTCACTCTCAATTGAGCTGAATACTGATAAACTTCTATAATGTTCTAAAAGACGTGATGTTTTTGCATAATATCTAACAGCCTGCGCATAGGATTTTTGATCTAAACATGATTTCAATCTAGTAGGCAATTCAAATATGAATTGAATCTTTGTGACAAATTATATAAAGATATTAATTCTGAATGTGGTTTACGGGATCTAAGATTCTAATAGGAGATATTACAAAAGTACCTTTTTTAATAAATCATGAACTCCTGTTAATTGACGAATTTTTTCTCGCTTTGGTCCCAGAGCAGTATTCACCGATGATGTAACATTTGAGATATTAGAAATACTTTTTGAAAGCTGGTCCATTTCAGACTCCATACTTTCAACATTATTTTTCATCTATTTAATTATAAACAATTTTCTAAGTTAACTATGTCCATTGACATCAAAACAAATTTATTAATTTTTGATAATTTTTAATCACCTTTCTTATTGTATCAGTAGCACTAATAAACTTATTATAATTTTCATATACCAATGTTTTCATGTCTCCATCAAGTTGTCTAATCTCTAATAATTAAATATTTATATATTTGAATTTGTGCCAGCAATTAATGATCCATATTTAATCTTTATTGTTGTAAACTACCTGTACTTAAATCATTATCTCTTTGCATTAATTCGCTCAGATGCTTTTCGGTGAGTAGAACATTACAATAGTGCTCAGCCTCAAAGGCGGAATTATCTTGTTAAGAAAAAACTAATAATTTAATGATCTATTTATTTAATGAATAAAAGAAACATAAAATAAAATTATAAACGAACTAATATCCAAAGGATCTACTTTTTTTCCGTCTGGATCTAAGCCATAATTTTTCACTCGACCCTTACGAGGTAAGGTAAGTGTTATAGGCTTCACAGATTTGGATGTTGAAGCGAAAGAATTAGGAGGTGAGGTTGAGATCTGTTGTGAAGTCGACATAGAGTATTGCTACGTTAGATTGGCTATTTCACCGTTATTAATACGTGTGCCTATTGGCCAATCAGACTTATTACAGAAATCCATTATTAAAATTTTCGTTTAGCTATGGGCAAGGTAATTTACTTATTACGTAAAAGTTAAATCACATTATGCGACATTCAGTATGTTATTATTTGTGACATAATGTGATTAAACTTTTACGTAATAAGTAAATTGCCTTGCCCATCTCTAGCTATAACCTATTTGAAGAATACGTAACGTCAAAATTTTAATAATTTTATCCTAATTCAATTTGCGTATAATGAACCTAATTTTATAGCATTTTAGTGCTGCGAGAGAAAACCTATAAATTAACTTAATTGAAATATTTCATTTATAACTGATAAGTTAGGTTATTAAATAGAATTAAAAAGAACTGTTACTGTATGCTATTAAAAATACACTGTTTCTTATTATTTAATATTCTTACAGGCGTTTTAACAAGTTCAATATTTACTAAACATTTAAAAGAGCCAAAATGCCCTAATAGCGATAATATCGACAGAGATAAACCAATAGAATATGTTGTATTCACGTTAGATGAAGAATTATAAAATTCAAATAGTGAAGTTTTTGATACATGAAAAATTTGTTTATTACATATATAAAGATCATTATTATAACTACAATATTGTGTTGAAAACGACCATATACTTTTTCTAAAAGATTATTCAAAATAATTTTAATTAATTTTATCTATCTTTAAATTATTACGAATCCATCATTTAACGCCGTTTTAGCCTACTTTGTGTATATGCAATCAATTTACTATCATATATAGATTCTCTTCTCTTTTACTGAGCGTATTAAAAAATATACTTAAGTTACAAAACATTGCGGGTTTTCATAAAGAAAACTTGTTGCTAATATTCAAAAAAAAAAAAAAAGGGTGGGAGAAGTTGGTGAAGGGAAAAAAAGTTGGTGAAGGGAAAAAAAATTAAAAATGTCTGTTTTTGAAATTCTCCAATTTTTTTTTAATATTCGCATCTATCTTATTGTTATACTCAGTTTCTTAGTTGCTTTTTTTATCAGCATGGCAAAATTACTTGAATATAAATAATGGGTTGACTTTATATTATTAAGAGTCTCCAGAAAGTAGTATTAGGTCAATAAATCATGCATGTATCAGAGACAATTTAATGCAGTCTAACTCGTTAAGGATTTCAGTTATGTCAGGACGTGAATTTGGATCACAATTCCAGGCATTACGGTAAAGATTAACAAAGTCAACTGGAGTTCCATCGACTGGAATTTCTCGTTTTCCAGAGATCACATGTGCGATTATTGCTATTTCAGGCACATTCTTAAAGGGAGGTTTTCCGCTTGACAACTCCCAGAAAATCATGCTGAGGCTATAGATATCTGAAGGCTTATCTCGCCTGTAATTTAGATTTTGGAAACATTGTGGATCTAAATAAGCAAATATCCCACCAGAAATTGATTTTGATTTACTATTTAATGATTTAGATAACCCAAAATCCGTAATCATCAGGCTGTCATTATGTACTAATATGTTTTTATCATGCTACGTATTAAACAGAATTGTTTATAATTAAATAATACATGCATGTTAGTGCATAATAATAGTCGATAAATGAACTAAATAGAGAAAAAACTTCTTACAAGATCGCGATGAACAATATTTGTTCTATGTAAATAGTTAATTCCATTCGAAATTTCCTTTGCCATTCTAATTTTAGTTTGCCAATCTAATTTTAAAAAATTAGCGTTCAAATAGTTTCGAAGATCTCCATTATTGGCGAATTGAAGAACCATATAGTATGATTCGGTCGAAGGATCTGACTCACGTTAAATATAACTGGTTAGACGTGTGTACGTGTAGTAAAAAGTAGTGATCCTAGCCGATCAAATTTTTCGAGCTGCTAAGCCGATAAAATTTTATCGATTTTTTATTTCCTACATCGGAACTCTTAGGAATGTCATAATCCTATTAATAAAATCGACCGGCTAAGCCGATTTTTTCACTATCGGCCAGGATCACTAGTAAAAAGACATTTATTTATTACATAAAATTAATTAACCTCGAGTAATTCCAAAGAACCGTATTATGTTGTCATGATTGTTAACTTCAATAATGTTTCTAACCTATTGATTAATAAGATTAATGTTAAATAGTATATAATATCTGATATATGACACGGCATGACATTTAGCATAACTACTAGTTAGGCCGGACTTCCAAGTTTATAGTTTACCGAGCTTAATCTAAACGCTAAATTTAAATTCTTGATTTCCTTTTGCGGGGGTCGTCTAAAGCCATGTACCTTTACATATAGATCTACATATTGCATAAATTTCGTTCTTGATATTATATATAAATAAAACTATTAATTGCATCAAAAAAACTAACCCAATGGTTACATGGCTTTAGCCATCCCCCTTTTGCGTCACTCATATACTAATAAATTGTCACATGTATGATGTCTGTGTCGTATCACTAATTTTATCGACACTGTTTCACAGACAATCTATTCCTAGTCCTAGATAATCTATTCCTAGACAATCTATTCCTAGTCCTAGTCAATCTATTCCTAGTCCTAGACAATCTATTCCTAGTCCTAGACAATCTATTCCTAGTCCTAGACAATCTATTCCTAGTCCTAGACAACCCGACAAGTTTATTTCTTATAAATTCCTCCTACATTCTAATGGTAATAATGTCGGTGAAATAAGTTATCTACGAAATGAGTTTTTCTAGGAATTGGTTGTCTGTGAATTGATTGTAGATGAAGTGTTGTGTCGATAAAATGAGTGTCGATAAAGTGGACGGAACCGGTCGGCGGTCGGTTATAAAATTGATACATACCTCTCTAATAAATT